TGTAATATTTCTCTAGGAATCATCCAAAATTCCCCACAGAGCTTTTGTTCTCATTAGGTTTTAGTCTTAGCCTAACCATCTGGGACATTAAATTGCTGCCAGAATTTTACATCCAGTTACTTCCATTTTCTAGAATGTAGTCTCTACTAATGTTATTGAGTCCAATTTCTACTTCCTGCCGATGTTTTTTGCCACAGCAATTAATGATTTTGTTCCTCAGGTCAGTCCTCTTAAGAAAATGATGGCATTTATTCATTTGGGGTATTACTACGTTAACAGTATTGCTCCCTGCATTTGTAATCCTCCAATTGATTTCTTTCTTCACCATGATATTCCCCCCAATACCCTTTTCCCTTCCTCCTGAGATTAAGCAATACACTGTTAAAAAAAATTATATATATATATAAAGCCTAGGGAAAACAACTGTTATTGTTAGCAGATGTTATAGTTGCCCACATTTAAAAAAAACAGACTCTAAATATCAATAGACTCTCAAATGTCAAATACTAAAATTAATAAGGGAGTTCAATATACAGAAGTACACTGCATTTCCATAATATAAGCGATAATCAATTAAAATTCAATTCCAAAATCAACAGCATTTAAAATAGCAACCAAAAATATAAAGTCCCTATGAATAAATCTAATAAAAGATGTACAAGTCCTTTACAGGAAAAATTATAAAACTAATTAAAAATTATAAAATTACATTGAAGTTTTGTATAGGGAGACAATGTTGTAAAAATGTTGTCTCTTCTCTTACTGATTTACAGATGCAAATTTCAATCAGAATACCTTCAAGGTTTCTTATGGAATTTGACAATGTATTTCTCAAATTTACACAGAAATTAAAGAGTCAAGAATAGCCAAGACTTTTTAGAGAAGAAATGTTGGGAGAACTTATTCTATTAGATGTCAATTTATAATTTATTCTATTATAAAGCTATACTAAGACATTCATACAGGAATTTTTTTTTTCGTTAAATTTTTATTTTGTCAATATACAATGTATTAGATTATTATGGCCCATCACCGACACCTCCCTCCCACCTCCCTCTCTCCCCTCCCACCCAAGAATGTCCTTTCCATTTGCTTGTCATACAGGAATTTTTAAAAAATTGAATAATTGAAAAGAATAGAGAGCCTGAAAATAAGCCTACACTCATTGTAAGATATTGTAGATCAGCAGGGAAAGGACAGAATATTGAACAAATGGTCCAGGATAATTTCTCTACAAATAGAAAAAAATTAAGATTGAGTTTTTACCTCCCACCAGATACAAAAGTCAAGTGGATTAAAGACTCAAGTGTGAAAGGCAAATCCATACTTTAAAAAAAAAAAACAGTGTAAGAGAATATTTTTGTGATCTCAGGATACATGAGGACTTCTTAAACAAGACATAAAAAGTTAAAGACATGAGGAAAAAAGAATGATAAATTACACATTCAAATGAAAGACTTTTGTTCATCAAAATACACCACAAAAAGAATGAAAAGGGCTGGCTGGTTAGCTCAGTTGCTTAGAGTGCAGCCTTCTAACACCAAGATCACAGGTTTGGATCCCCATACCAGCCAGCTACCAAAAATAACAAAAACAAAAAAGAATGAGAAGATGAGCCACAAACTGGGAAAACATATCTAATAAAACATATATTTAACAAAGAATTTGTATCCCAAAAAACACCTCCTACAAATTATTAAGAGAAAGACAAATCAACAAACAGAAAATTGGGCAAAAGGCAGTCATTTTACAGATATATATTATTTAGGAATACAAAAATGAATGGCAAAAACTAAAAGAGACAAGAAAAAAATAACACCAAGTTCATAAAGTGGTTAGTGCTGGGAGAAGAGAAAAGAACGAGGATGGAGAAGGGTAAACAGGGACCTCTGAAATACAGTAATATTTGTTTTCTTGTTATAGGCAAGGAATACAAACGTGTTTGTTTTTTATTATTTTAATACAGTGATACATATTATATCCCTTTGGCTTATATAAATATTTTACAATTAAAGGTATAGTTATATTATTTGTTAAAAATGAGTAGAACATATTTCTCCCCCGTGTAGTATTTCTGTTTCTAGACTTTTAGTTTTATTTGATCAGAATTGATGTATAAATGCTTTTTAAAAAAATCTATATCAGTTACTGTTTTAGAAGTAGGTAAAAAATAAAATATAACTAAAACCATCAAGTTTTATTAAGACATAATTAATAAAACTACTGTAGGAAAAAAACACTAAGCAAATAGTATTTTTATGGATGGGATAATCCAATATAATGTACATATAAATTCCCTCACAAATTATTTCATTAGCTTAATGCAATTCCAGTTAATATCCCAGGAAGATTTTGGGGGGAACATTGCAAATTCATTAAAACACTTACATGAATAATTTTTAAAAATAAAAGACAAAGAGTAGGGCTTCCTTATCAGATAATAAAATATATTACAAAGCAATAGGAATTAAAATAGTGTGGTACAGCATAGAGATAGACAAACAGATCAATGGCACAGAATAGAGAGCCTAAAAACAAACCCATTTCATGTGAAAATTGTTAATACAATGGAGGTGCATCATATTTAGTGGGAAAAGACACATTATTAACTGACATCAGAAAAACTGGCTCACAACATGAAGAAAAAAATAAAATTAGAACCTTTTATTATCTCCAAATTGACTAAAGATCTAAATGTAAAACATAAATTAAAACAGAAGTAAGTGTGAAAGAATCATCTTAGGACAGAGAAGGATTTCCAAAACAAGACTTAAAAAAAAAAAAAGTACAATCTTTAAAGGAAAAAATAATAGATATTACTACATTAAAATTAAAGATGTGTCTTCTGTGAAGGACTCCACCGACAAAGTTGACACAGGTGACAGACTGGGGGAAAACATTTGCAACTTTTATAACTTATAAATGGTTAGTATTTAGAATAGATGAGGAACTGCTGATCAATCAATAAGTTAAAGATGGAAAGAGTAGTGTAGAAAAAAATGGCAAGAGTTATGAATAGTTAATGCACAAAAGGAGAAACCTGAATGGATAAATAGATATAAGAAGAGATGCTGAATTTCACTCTCAGAAAAATGCACAATAAAACAATAATGAGATACCATTTTAAATTTATCAAATTGGCAAAAATTCCATCCCAGGTAATAGCAAGTGCTGGCAGGATTATGGGTGACAAACCTCATGTACTGAAATCGGTACAATCATTTTGAGGGTAATCTCTCAGCTGAGCCAAAAATTGTAGGCCTATCATTTGGCACACATACAAAAGGACACTAAACAGATAAGGCCAATCTCTTGCCATTGCAGGAGGAACCTAGAACACTCTAAAGAATTGCTGTAAAATAGTACAGCCATCACAGAAAACAGTATGGAGATTTCTGAAATAAGTACAGATAGAACTACCATATTATCCAGCAATCCCACTTGTGCGTATATACCCAAAGGAATGGAAGTCATCATGTCAAAGGGATACCTGCACTCCCATGTTCATCATAGCTCTATTTATGATAGCCAAAATACAGAACCAACCTAAATGTCCATCGATGGATGACTGGATAAGGAAAATGTGGTACATTTATACATTGGAATACAACACAGCCATTAAAAAAAATGAAATTCTGCCATTTGTAGCAACATGGATGAGCTTGGAGAAAATTATGGTAAGTGAAATAAGGCGGAGGCAGAAAGAGAAATACCGCATGTCCTCACTCATAAGTGGGTGGAAGGAAGGAAAAGACAAGACAAGACCACAGTAACTCATTCATCTTTCAGAAGGAGAGAACAAATCTATGATTACTAGTGGTGGAAGGAGGGGAGTGCAAAGGGGGTGGGGAGAGATTGGATAAGGGGCACAAATAATAATTACAGTTTGTAATAACGAACACACTAATAATATTGATTTAATCAATACATGTTATACACAGGTGACAGTAGTCAACGTTGCACCCAAGATATGTATTAAAAAAATAATAAAGTACTGAAAGAAAAAAAAAGGGGGGTGCTGGAGTTTCACATCAACAAACTGGTAGCACAATCTCAGAACAGCGTCAACTGAGCTGTCCAGAGACCTGACTGCCATAGCTCCTTCCCACACCCTCTCAGACAACCAAGACCATTGCTCATTTCTGATCTCCCACCGGTATGTTCAGACTGCCCTCTGTGCTTCACCACCACCAGCCCTACAGTCCTTTTATTAATTACTGCTTGGATTCCTGCTGGCCAGGTCAGTGGTACCTAAACCCACCTGCTTCAGAGTTAAAATGTTGATAAAAATAGCAAATAATAGACATTTAAAATCATGTATTGGTTTTTATTTTAGTGAGTTTTAAAAAAAGAAACCAAGCAAGAGGGGAGAGAAAGAAAGACTGATTGAAAGGTAAACAATGAAAATGAGAGAAAAAAAAGAAAACAAGAAAAAGATACAGCATTAGAATGTGAGCTCCATGCACGCAGGTATTTTTATCTGTTTCATTCACTATTAAATTCCCCATGCCAAGAATAATTCCTGGCACATGATAAATGGTCAATTAAATATTTGATGAGTGAGTTAATGAATATGCACAGACATACAATAAACGCACCTTCAAATCCATTTTGTGACCTTTCAGACTGATACAATTTAAACCTGTTAAACTGTTTTACAACTCTAAGTAAGTTATCATCTATGTTATCTGTGCTGAGCTCCTCCAATTTTAGACACAGAAATGATGTATTTTCAATTATTTAACTAAATGAAGTCTTTCTCTTTTAGACTTTTCCAGTCTGTTAACTCATCAGTTTGATTCCATGTCATGTTTTCATGATTCTTTGTGGATTCCATTAATTTCCATTTTCAGATGTGAATCTCTTTCAGATAGCCTTGTAAGACCCTCATCTGACCCTGTCTCTGCCTGGACTTGGGAACCATTCTAAAACAAAATATAACATTTTAATTAACTATACTTTTAAATGTCATAAATTCTTAAAATAGCGAGCCTGCTTACCTGAGAATGTGGAATGAGTGTTTCAAACTGTTGATGAAGTTCAAGCAGCTGAATTAATTCTGCATTTTTTTTGGCCTTTTCTCTAATTAAATCAATATAATTTTCAGGATTTTCTTCAAATAAATATGCAGCATCTCTGGTATTGAAAGTATAATACTTTTCTTTATATTTCAAAATTCCAATTGCTGGATTTCCTAAAGTAAAATAAAAAAATTAGTTATGAAATATTAAGTGATTCTATGTTTGTAATACACCCACAAAACCGTTCCCTATACACTCCATTTTTTACATATCACTTATGTTTCTATTTTGCTAAAATGTTATAATTATTTTAAATTATACATTTCATTAAATATTTTAGGTGAAATTCATATTAATTTAATATTTTTATTTTTAAAGTATGACTTTAAAATGTATTTTATGTAAAAATACTTTCCAGATATAAGACATTTAAAAATCTTTTATGAAAAGCTACTTAGTCATCTGTCAGATTTTCGAATCTACTTAAACTGCTATAAGGATTGTTTTAAAAATAATTCTGTGAGAATTATAAAAATGGGACATCTTTTCCAAAATGCAACTTTGCATGTTAGAAAGATACTACATAGAATACAGTTTATTAAATATCCACACAGTTTGCAAAAATTATATAGGAGACAGTAATACTGTCTTATTCATTTATTCTTTCATTTATTCAACAGGTATTTATTGACCCTGTTCTTAGTACTGTAAAGTCATTGCTCTCAACAAACCACATGTAGCACAGGCCACAGATTGACCAGTGCTACATGAAATAAATAAATAAATAAATAAATAAGCAGTTTAAACACATAGTAAAAGGAAGGACGATGAGATGAAATTGATATTTTAAATTGGGTGATTGGGAAGGTTGAATAAAATGAGGGAGCAAGGCACATATCTATCTGAGGGGCAGAGCTTTCCAAGTAGAGGGAATAGTAAGTGCAAAGGCTCTGATGTGAAAGTAAGCTTAAGATGTTCCAGAACAGGGAGGAGCCAGTACAGCTGGTATAGAGTGAACAAGGAAAAAGTGGTAGGCAATGAAGTCAGTGAAGTCATCTGAAAAAGCCCTTGACTGGTAAACCACATTGTCACTTTGGGATTTTAGCCATGTGGTCTGCACTCCCACAAGGAAGGAAGGAAGTCCTGCACAATTCCTCTGAAGTAATGCAGGTTGCTACAGCCTGGAAAATAACATAGTAAGTAAAAATAATGTAGTAAACAGAAATAAAGTAGTCCGGACTAACTTATTCAGAGAGGAGTCTGAAACCTATAGCCCCACAAGCCCTTCTACTTTTCTATTTCTCCCTCTTTCTTAGAATCATAGTTGGTGGAAGCTGGAGAGAACCATACAGACCTCCTGATTGGTCCTTTTCATTTTCCTGAGGGGAAATTGAGGTCCACAGAAGGTATGAAATTTGCTGAAGGTTACTCAGTTCACTAATGCTACAAACTGGGGCTAGAAACCAGGCTTTCCTGAATCCTGACACACAGCGTTTTCAACCACATCTTGCTACCTCTGTCATCACCCCACATCCATATATCTTTGTGTGTGTGTCCCTCATGACTCCCTGCCCTTCTTATTTGTGTTGGAAGGAAGGAAGGAAGACAAAAAGAAAAGAAAAAGAAAAAGAGAAAAAAAAGCCACCTACATTCCAATGCTTTTTATTTCTGCATGACTCTTGATTGTTTTCTCCCCAGTATGAGTGACCCTCACTGGGCTCCAGAATACTATTGTCTCAGTTCCTCATGGTAAACCCTTTGTTACTCCCATCAGGAAAAATGTAATACCATAAAAAATGAGCTGACTTGTATGTTCCCTCTAGCCTGTAGCACACAATCCCAACAATTCTTTATAATGAAAAAAATAACACCCACATGTAAAACATAACAAAAGTAATAAAAGTAATTATACAGAAAGAAGAAAAAGGATGGCATAAGCTAAATAAGAAACAGTTATGTCACACTGTTTTCATTCTAAGATAAACAGTTATGTCAAACTTTTTATTCTAAGCAGGCTTCTTGTTATTGCAAATTCACACAATACTTTTTGGATAGTAATTTATTTCATCTCAATGTCTGGTTTGCTCTTTATGCTGAAGGAGTTTTAACAATATGTACATGACAGGGAAATTTTTACTTGATAAAACTTTCTTAGAGGGATCTAATTTATAGAGAAATCCTGATCTATGTTAATGAAATTTAATTATAAAGTGACAAACATTTTTCAATAAACACAGTCAAATAAGTGTTGTTCTTTCAGTAATTACTTTGGACGATGACATATTTTTAATAATGCTGTGTAACATTTCTATAATCCTTCACTTGGCAAATGAGTCATCCCTCTCTATGGTACTGTAGTATCCATATTTCATAATATGCACATTCTATTAATTATCACTTATAATTTCTTTTTTATGCCAATCTACCAGATTATACTGTGAGCACCTCCAAGACGACTTTATCAGGATTATTTTTGTAGTTTCTTTCCTAGTTCACCATCTGATTCCACAGAGTTTAAAAAAGTGAATAAGTGAGTGACAATGACAGCACTCTACATAAATAAAAACCCAGGGAAGGGGGAGCAATATTGTTTCCAATGATATACCTGGAAGGAGAAGTCCATCTGTTGTAGCAAATGTATAAGCACAAAATCCCCGATACTGAATTAACAATTTATCAAAATTCGCTGTTGTTTCTGGGAAAAGCCACTCTAGTTTTCTGCAATCCGCCAAATGTACTCTATCTTCTAAAATGAAAGAGGAAAAGAAGAAAAGCTTTTATTCAATGAAGTTAAATTTCTTAAATAAATCAGTAGTAGCTCATCATAAACATTAACTTTTTATAGTTTTGTACTTTTCCTGATTGGCAAAAACTTGACACAAAACCAGATTTATGGGGAGGGCTATTCAAGCACAGAAGTACAGATAACCTCAGTGACTGTCCAAGGTCACATAACTTCTGGGGCAAACTTGCAGATAGAACTTTGCCCCAGAATGAAGAGCATAGAGGAGAGGCCATTTCAGAAAAGCATGCTTTGCAGCTGAAGGAAAAGTTGACAGAAACTCTTCCGAAAGGGTAAGTGGTGCTTTCCGCTGCTGCAAGGAGACAAGCGGAAGAGACTGACTGCTACGTGATCAAGACAGAGAGCAATCAAGTTCATTCAAGCTGGTGTAGCTCTTAAAAATATACTAGTTGGCAAAATACTTTGAATGTGATGCTATATACTAGGACTTTCGCTTCTTGAAACAGTAAAGAATGCTCTAGCAGAAAGAGTCAAGGAAATAAATGTCTCTTTGCAGCTTGATTTTGGTAACAATATGTTCAATTTTTTTTTTTTTTTTAAAGATGACCGGTAAGGGGATCTTAACCCTCAACTTGGTGTTGTCAGCACCACGCTCTCCCAAGTGAGCCACAGGCCGGCCCTAACATGTTCAATTTTTGTTCTTTAGACTTTTAAAAATTCTTCACAGTGTTGGTTTACCTATTTACATTCGATAATGAGGGTACTTCAAAAAGCTCATGGAAAAATGGAATTAAAGGATAATATGAATCTTTCCATGAACTCTTTGAAGACCCCTTGTAGATTTTTTTTTTTACACAAATAATAACATGTATTTATTAAACGTTGCTCCCTGAGGTTCTTAGCTTTCACGATCCCACCTACACTCCTGTGCCTGGTTCTAAACCCAAGCAGTGGCCACCACAAATGACCTTGTGGGTAAAACTAGAAAGAAATACACCTCTCTTCTCTTTTTTCCTGATATGCCTAAAAACCTCCAAAATTGATGAGATGTGGGGGTTGTAAATCAAAATTTTTAGAAGAACATTGGCTCTTCCAATTCACTGAAGCAGTAACTTGATAAATGGTTTCCAATGAGTAAAAAGTTCTGACATATGGTAGGAAATGACACATCTAAATCTAAGAAGTTGCAAGTAAACTGTCTTGCCAATATAGCTGAGTTTAAAGCCCACTGTTAATGTTACTTTAACTTTTCAGTGTCTTTTACTATATACTTAGACATGTTGTTTTAATGAAATAAAATGAATAGTAAAAACTTGAACTGAAAGGATGCTTTTGAATCTCTGATTTAGTTTTCAGTTTTTATGTATTCTAATTGTTTAAGAAAGGAAATCGCTACTACATTTTTATTTTCCATTTTTACAAAAATAGAATTTGAAAAGGAAATTCATAGAATAAATCACCTAATTTCATTTTCTAAAAAATCTTTCTAGGCAACAACTTAAGTCCCAGACTCTATTCTGACATTTCTCATGAATTTTTAGTTGTCTTTAGCTAGGATAAAGGAGACCAAAAAAGATGAAAAGTTTGTTGATAAAGAAAACCTTTCTATAAGAATTAATGCATCTCTTAAAGGGCTCCAAATAAGCTCAATTAATTTTACTGGGATAAAATGTATTGGTTTATCAATTCTCAACTTGAATCTGAGGTAGATATATAGCGAATAATATTCTAAAGGAACGGAGATTTATTTGCAATAAATATAGCAAGGATTAATATCCTTTTCTACTAAAAATCAATAACAAAATCACCAAGACTGCAACAGAAACACACATGCACAGAAAATCATTATTAACCAAAACATTAACAATAACATTAAGAACGGTTATTGCTGGATAGTAAGATATTCAGTTTAAATATCATGTTTTCTACATTTTCTATAATGAACATTAGTACTTTATAATCAAGAAAGATGTTTAATGCTTTATCAGAAAAAAAAGCATGAAAGTTTTAAAACAAAAGAGTGACTTTATTCTAAAGATAATTTTAAAAAGAGGAAATAATGGATGATTTCCATTTACCCATGTGTTCTTTCATTCTACACACATCAGTTTTCACAGTCACTCCTTCAAGAAGACTTTGCATTACTTTCTCAGGAAAGAGTAGTTCATGAATACCCAAGAATGGCTCAAGATGAGTGGTTAAATTACTCAGGACACTGACCAAAACGGTTTCATCCTGAAAGCTAGTCCACAGACTGGAAAGCGCAATGAATATAGGCTGAGGAAGAGGGAAAAAAAAAAAAAAGTTCAAAATGTAACCGTATAATACAATTACAAATCATTTATTCTTAAAAATAAATATAATTGTCATTTGCAAAGAAATTAATTCTTCTTTAAGTCAAGTGAAAGTCTTATGAAGATTCTAGATAGAAACTGAACTCATAAATTATGAGAAAATAAACCTGTATTTTATTTTAAAACATTTTATTTTGGTATGATTGTTATAAAGTTAATTTACTCAACAAAAGCCAAACACATTTGACAACCTAAGAAAAATTTATGGATGCTTCACCTCAAAAGGCCAAGGGGAAAATATCTTTTCTTTTTTTTTTAAAAAGCTAAACATGACTCATTATAATTAGATTTATCTGGTCCAATCATGATTCGAAAGGCCCTGGAAAGTATAGAGATATATCTTTGGACATGTCTTGTAAGCTGCAAGTTAAAAATTTTAGGTCACTGAGATAAAATTTTTTTATTCCTATTCAAGGTCATTGACTTATAGAACAAACAAAAAAATCAACTGGACCCCACATAAATATTATACAACTTAGCCTTTTGTTTCTTGGTTTTTAAAACCAAATATTGGGAATGATTGCAGAAAGTTATCAGAGCATCAAATGCTCTATACAATATTGCATGAACATTTTATACAGCCTTGTCCAAATAAGGGCTGCCAAGTTTGTTCATAAAATGGAACAGATAATCAGAAAGTCAATATAAGTGGAGGCGTGATAAACAAAGTTATTATTATCTGTCATTTCAGAAAGATCACAAGTTAAATCACCTCTGTGCTGGAGGCAATTTCCAATCAGCTACTATAAACACATTTTCAACACTTTCTATGAATTATTTCTGTTGCCACAGCCAATACTGATATTATGGTTATTATACTATATATATCTGCATTTCCTTTAGTAGCAATTCCTTATGAAGGGGAATCCTCTCACCCAACTTCTTTCATACTATTACTACAAAATAACCATAAAGAACAGGATCAACTTGTATAAAACTAATGTTTTATCTTTAGTAATTAAATATAATTATAATGACTTCTTCCAATATTATAGTACTTAGGAAATTCATCCTTAACAAGGTCAAAGTTGATGAAAAATACTTACAAAGACTTGTGACGTTGGGACAGCTGTCTTTGATTTTACAGTCATTTTTAGTTGTTCCAGGTGGGCTCCTAACTGCTTTATCATCACTTCCACTTCTTGAGCACAAGTAATTATATCTGACTGTGAGGACAACATAATTTGCATTAATATTTTTATAATTTCACTCTAATATTCATATGTGTTTAATGTCCTACCTCCTATATTTGTGGAATGGATGAATCTTTTGAAATACAATCGATATAATTTTTTAAAATGTATATAGGTATTCTTAGGCATTAAATCTTTATTTTTTTACATTTTATTTATTTATTTATTTATTTTTAAATTTTATTTTGTCGATATACAATGTGGTTCATTATTGCGGCCCATTACCGAAACCTCCCACCCTCCTCTGTCTCCCCCCTCCCACCCAACAATGTCCTTTCTGTTTGCTTGTCGTATCAACTTCAAGGAATTGTAGTTGTTATGTCTTCTTCCCCCCCAGTTTTTTTTTTTGTGTGTGTGTGTGAATTTATTTATTTAATTTTAGCTCCCACCAATAAGTGAGAACATGTGGTATTTCTCTTTCTGTGCCTGA